CATTTAACTGTATGCATCAGTTGAAATTATGCATGAAGAACACAACAAAAATCTACTTTTGTTTTCCTGCAGCACTCAGTGTTACATAAACTATAATGCCTACTATGAAACGGCATTTAAAGGAGAAAAACAAAGTATCATATGATACGTTTCTCAATGATGCATGCAAAGGAACTGATATTTCATTTTGTCTCTGCTGTTCTGAAAAGTCTCATTTTCTATTTGTTAGTACATTTGTCGTCAGAGTGTATGTGTTGGTTTAGGTTCGTGCCTTTAGGAGCATAAGTGATTAGAATATTTTTACACTTTTGGTAAAATGTGTTAACACAAGGTTATTAAAGGTACCAAGTGAACTAACCTGGAAAATTTCTTAATGTTTGCTTAATGAGGAGGCTTAATATACAATAAATTGAATGTTATAAAATATCTGAGCTGATAACTTATCAAAAGGAGCAGAGAGACCGGAGTTTAACAGAGTTATAATATCTAGGATAAATTCATAGAGGAACCTTTGACAGAATTGGACTGTTGGTTCAATCACTGTAGGCTCACATAGTCTTCTTTTAGTTTGCACGATTAAATCTGTTATTCAGATGTTATTTTGGTGGAAAGGTCACTCTCACTGGAAGACCTTCAGTTCTAACTCAGACTGGGAGATCTCTTGGGTGCCTTTAATCTTGCAATCAGAACAAAGTGAAAACCAAAACAAAAATCTATCAGGAGTTTTACATCAGATAGTTTGATATTCTCTTAAACGTATTAACCAATATTTATTGCTATGACTAACGATACATTATACTTTTGACTGCGTTAAAACTACGTGAAAACCTAAACAAGCAAAATAAGATTGAATTGTGAAAGGAAATTTCACATCTACTGAACGGCAAACATTTTCATGGAAATAACACCCCACGGTTATGAAAACATGATCCCTCAGCATGGAATCAGAAGTTGTTGTGGCTGACAGTGTGGTCCACTGAGGATATTTTGACAGAAGCAGCTAATTTGGGTTAAAAAGTCAGATTTAGACTTTATATTCACTAGAAAGTTGGTTGATTTGTTTAGAGACTAAAAGTGATGGGAAATAATTTTAATACATTTAATAAAAATGAAAAAAAGACATTAATTAGCCTGTAATAGCCTATAATAGGCTATTATCACAATTATCACTGATAATAGCCTATTAAGGAAAACTGAGCAATTCTGTCCCTTAATCCTGTAGTAGGGTACAAACTGCTGGACTTGCCTGGTCCAGAGTGCCAACTCTACATTTCTGGGTACAGTGTAATGCTTATAATGAAAACAAAATGATTGTGTTTTCCTTGATGTGAAGTACATGCAAGTGTGCATGCGTGTTTGTTACTATGTGTGGACACATATCAGTGCGTCTTCAATTCTCCCAACATCTCAGACACTGACCAGTTTTGGCATAATATAACTTTACTGCAGGGGACCAAAACCTAAAAGGGAGAAAATCTATAGTGTGCATTGGAGACCAGTGACAAAGAGGAGTAAGAGGTTTATTGCGAAAGAGAAAAAGCCTGAAAGAACAAGAGGCAGCTGAGAGAAGGGAGGCTGAGAAGGAAGGAAACTACGCTAAAAGGAAAAATATGTAATCTCACAGGAATCAAATACAGCACGGGGACTATATTGATGAAGACAAACACATCCAGATATAGCAAATTGAGACTGATGTCCGTTATTGTGTTGGTTAATAACAGAATGGAAAAAGCCTTCGGCTTGAAAGAATTGCAGACACTGTACAGTGCTTTTCAATTGTTGTTGTTTTTTTTTAAGAACAAAACTAAATCCTAACAGATTAAAAGGCACCGTTTTGAAAATCTGGAAATCTTTTGTTTGTGACAGAAGACAGAAATAATCCTTGTGTCTGTGAGTCGTGTAAATGACATGTTTTAACTTCCGTATTACATTCATTGGAGCTCTGAACATACAACTCTAATAACAACAGTGTCCCTGACAGTAATGCTGTAGCAAAAAGGAAAGTAAAAAAAAAATCTTGTGGTACTGCAGTTAGGACATGAATTAGTGAACCACTAGAGTGCACTCTGTAGCCTTTAACGAAATGTGGATGCATAATAGGCTGCTAAAGATATAAAAGCATGGCGCTGAAAAGGAAAGTCTAAAGAAAAGCGGAAGAGAAAAGGGTGGAGTGAAAAATGGGGGTCAAGTGGAAGAAATAACTGCTGTGTCAAACAGTAGCACAAGTAACGGACATCTGTAAAATATTCAGCTGTGAAGAAAACGAGTGGCAGTGGGAAAAGGAATCAGAAATACTGCAATGAATAAAGCAAAGATCCTTTTTCCTGTAGTCTGGTTTACCTTCTCTGGCTCTGCTATTACTGGAAGCTAAGCTTTATTTCCAACTCTTACTCATAGGAAATTCAGTCTTTGTTGCTAATGAAAGAACCACCCACCCAAAAGGACAGTTACTTAGTATGTAACAGTTGATTCTTTCGCAGCAGTGAAGCGACCACCAATGGTTTCAGCCCAAAACATTTGGGTCACATTTCCATTCAGTAGTAAAGCAAATCTAAAGTGATGTTAAAAATAAATTATATAAAACTTAAAAAGTTAATAAATACTTCTTGATATTACTAGTATTAGCAAGCATGTACCACATAAAAGACAATGTGGTTCAACAAGTTCTTCTATAAACATAGTAGTTTTGATCATGCTTGACGTGGATGCATTTAATTAATAGTAATAAAAAAATAAAACTAAAAATTTGTGTGTGCTTGAGGCGTCACTCACAAATCAGAGCAATGAATGGGAAAACTGGTTGATTCTATTCTCTGGTTGGTGTACCTGTGCGTCTCTATCTAAAAGGCCGTTTTAGGTGTAGGGAGATGGAAAGCAGTCAGATATGTTCACAGTGACTCAGGATACACACAAAAACATCTGGGGAGTCAGGCTATTGCGTGATTTGTGCAATGTGCTGACATTATTTACAATGCAGAAAATTCTAAATTGCTGTAACCTTTTGAAAACATGAGAAAAAAAAAAGTCACTTTGAAACTCAATTTTTTTGTTTGCTCATTTAAATGCAGATCAAACATGGCAAAATGAGCAGAGCAATAGAAAACATCCAGACTTCAACATGACTTGGGTTCCCCGCTGGATGTTACTGTTAAATAGCTTGTCTTCAACTGTAAATACTAAATGATTTACACAAGCAAGATGGTTTAATCCTCCCTGGAAGTTGGTACAAAACAATGCAAAGCTTCATTTTTTGTTTAGTTTACCTGTGGGGAATCAGAGTTATAGGCTTCTTTTTTCACCAAATAGCCACTACAGTTGAAGACCAAAACAAACCACACTACGACTTGTATACTTCATACGTCTGAAAAGGTGTTTCAGGTAGAAAAACAAGTAATGTAGCATTTCGGACAGTTCAGAAGAAGGTAAAGACACAGAACTCTTTCTCAGCAGAACTTACCTACTACCTACTTACCTATTAGGTAGGTTCTGCTGCGAAAGAGACCATATTTAAGTTTTAAAAGTTATTGACTTGTCAATATAGATTATTAATATGCTAAAGCATACAAACCCAGAGGCTGTGTACCATACACCTGGTACCAGGAGTGTAACAACAGGCGTCTCCAAAGTGCAAGCTGCCAAGTTGTAATACATAAATTAACTATAGAATCTGTACAACCATTTTGTATTTATGAGGCTACAGAGGCAGATTAATTGATCACTGCAAGTGTTTTCTAATAGATGTTGAAGTCTGGCGCCTAAGATAATAAGTGTAGTGAGCATAAAAGAAGTGGAAAATGATCAAACAGGTGTATGCATTCAATAAATCTCACCATTTATAAGCAATATTTACGGAAAAGATATTGCTGTTGGATTCTTATGTCTGTGCGTGTGTGTCTTCTTTGGAGGAGGAGAAGTGCGGAAGTGGGGAGAGAGGCGCAAAATATACACCCCAACAGTGAAACCACCATGTTGCCCTTTAACCGTTCCTCTCAACTCTCCCCGAGTTGTCTTAACACGAGGTCTAATATATTCCAAAGGGGGAGGAGATATTGAATGTTCAGGCTGAAGTACATAACCAGTAAGCTCCAGCCATGTAAATAAGATGCAGCAGTCAGGTGTTTCTGCTGCTGGGTAATTACCAAGGGAATTAAGCATTGCAAATGCTATATGTGCATCGTTAACATCATTTACACGGATCTCTTCTCATCCACAGCGATGACCCTACAGCAATACAGGCTTTTAGAAAGAGGACAGAGGTTAATCTGTATAGATTATAAGCATACTGCACACTACGGAATGCATATGAAACCCTTTGCATATTTAACACACAGTAAGAGCAACGATAAGCAATGCAAGACATAAAATGGTTAAATGTAGCCTAAATTTGCAGATAACATATTGTGACAAACAATAGTGTTAGGGCATAATGCTACCTTATGCTATGTATTTGCATAAAGTAGCATAAGAAAGATATAGATGTGGAAGTTTTGAATGAACGCATACATTTACTTAAAATACCTTTTTTCTAATTACATCCTATATCTTTTCATATTACAACACAATATAAAAAACTATTTGCTGGTATTTTTTTTTGTATCTCAGTTTGTATTTCAAATCCATTCATTATTTTAAATGCAAAAAAAAAAAATATGTTCAGGAAGACAGATTTGAAACTCTAAAACCTGCAATAAATAACTATCATAATGAACATTAAGAGGTCTGAGGCTGCTCTTCAGGCTTTTTCCAAAGTACAAACAAATTATGCATGTCTTCAGAAATTATGTGATCAAACGCCAGCAGATGCTAGCCTGAATATGAATGCCTTGCACTGAGTAATAAATAACTCCAGTAATGTTGCTTCCTCTTTGCACCTGGTCCCATTTATTGAAATTTATCAGCCTTTTGACTTCAATATTTATGTTAATAACAACTGCGATTTTACATATGTCAAAGGTCTTTCATTTGAAACTCAGAACAAATTTAAAAAGGTATGTGCCAACCTTGCGAATGCCTTCCCTCGACTCCTCAACGTTATTATCTGCTCCTCCAGTCCGATTAATCATCCGCCACATCTGGGAGTACATGGGATCTCTCTCAAAGGGGTTCATAGCCTTTGAGCGCACCTGATCATATACTGCAGAGTCCAGGACTGTCCCATATGGCAGTTCAGTCTGCTTTGATAAGTCCTGCAGAGACCTAAAGGAAACAAAACAAAAAAGATCACTGAATCAGTCGGTCCATTTCTCTACTACAAGTAGTGTGAGGCACATCCCTGTGGTTAGATCTCACACTAATGCAACATCCCACCGTATGGATGAACCTTTTAAGGTTTAGGCACGGCAGCCACAGAAATTGTCAAAGCTGATGAATCTGGGCAAGCATGGACATCTAATTATAATTTTAGTTGCAACAACGTTTAAATTAAAGCATTATGGCCAGTATATTGATATATATATATATATATCTATATTTAGTGCAGCTACAATATATATATTGTTCCCATTAACTTTGTACAGTCCCTTTATTTTCTTTTCCATATCAGGTACTCCTGGCTCGGCACGTTTTGCTTCGATATGCCTCTTTCTTCGATGAAGTCCTTGATGGAGCTCTCTGTGAACTCTCCTTACTTTTACTTTTTATTTTTTTATTTAAGTACTCCAGGCTCAGTGCTCTTATGTTTTTTTTTTTCATTCTTCTCTTGTCTTTTGAACCCACAGCCTGCTTCAGAAAATGGCAACTCATAGCCTGGTTCTGCTGGAGGCTCCTTCCTGTTAAGAGTCTGGTCTTCTTTAGCCAGATAAATCTTTACAAATCACATTGAAATTGTCAGCTGAATTTAACAGCACTTTACAGTTAATCTTTCAAAGCATTTGACACACTGACGACACAACTTCTCAGGACCAAGTCTAACACACTACTGTCAAAACTAATTGAAAAACTAGTGAAAGACAGACAACCAACTCCACACACATAGACTGTATCCCTTTGGTAAAAGCCATCTGGAGAACTCTGGTTGTCAGTAAGTTTCTTCATGGAAGTCATGCAGAAGCCTCAATCCACAACCCAAAAAAACAGTTTGAACCTCTGCAGATTGTGGGACAAGACAGTCAGAGACTTTGTCAACATAAAACACACTGTGGTATAGCAGCAGCCAGATCCATGTGAGATTTGACAGGGCCTTGACATTAGCAGGCCTCTCCTTGGCCTTTTTCATCCTAATCTAAATTTCACAGTTTATAAAGAAATACATTCTTACAACAAGCTTTTACACAAGTTGTCAGCTAGACAATTGACAACAGAGTAAAATAGGAGACAATGAGTGACTCTTTAAGAACTTGATCTGCCCCAAAATTAAATTCAGAAATATTTGTTCATTCCTTAAGGGAAATTAGATGTTGTCTTGACTGTAATTTCTGGAATGAGTCATTGCATATGGCGATAGATGTGGGAAGAATCTTCTGTGGTTTATATTAAAGCAGATCTTAAGAAGCCTCTGTCATTTTGCAGTCTTGCATAAAGGATGCTTGGGTTTTTCCATTAGGTTATTCATTTTACAAAGCATCCTTCTTTGCATAATTATCTCCAGAGTGGTCTCAAAAACAGAACCAGTGTTCTTTATCCAGCTGTTTTAAGTAACTAGTTCTGATGCTGGTAACACAAGAGATTATGCCAAAAGAGATTGTCCTTTAAAAAAAAAAACATAAAAGCTTTGCAGTAATTTTTCCACAAAATGAAAAGGCCTGAAAAGTGGCAATCAAGCCATCTAGAAGAAGCTTTCACTTTGACTATTCAGGCCAAATATACAAGATTTAAAATCTTGCCCTGTGCCTGTGTCCAATAGAGAAACTGTATGCCTTCCAGCTCAAAGACCAAGAATTTGACCTGCCGAGGAAGTTGATGTAATGGGCCAGGATAAGTTGTGAGCTATGATCAAAACAAACCTATGCTGAATTATTGAGAAGTAAAGCTTCACCACACATTACATTTCCTCTAGACCCTTTCTAAATCACATTACAGTGACACTTGGTTGGTTGTGTGGTTTCATCAAAATGCAACTTTTAAATGTAGTTCTCAAAGCACTGGTTGTTATGCTTGACCTTGGGCACACTGGGGCCAAATGTACTCTCTTCTTCAAGGCATAAAATGATGTTCCTTGACATCAATTTTCTCTCTGGAGTCAGTGAGGCTCTCATCAAACCTAACCTCGGGCCCGGGATAGTGTACACCATCAGTCTAAAAGAGAGAAAGCAACTCCTGTCGACGGTCAGTGGGATCGCGCGCAGCATCAGTCTAGAACTGAGAAGACAGCTCCTTTAAGAGGGTGACAGTAAATGCTCCTGGTTCTGTTGGGAAATGAAAGTACCCTATCATAACTACAAAACTGAAGAACCAAATGTAGCAGACGGAAAAAGCCAGGACTGATCACAGTGAACCAATGCCTACCCAAGTTTGACAGAGGAAAAAGAAGTTTCTTCCATCTAATGAGTTGGTTATGAGTAAAAAGGTTTCTGGTAATGTGTTCTTTGATGGAGACGCTTCTTTTAACAGTATTAATTAACCGACACTTGCATAATAAAGACTTAATTTAACTTGACCAAATCTTTGGTAAAAATGTTCATTTATGTAGGACATCCATTTAAAAAGAAAACATGGCAATTAGAGGAAAAAAAAATCTCACTCTGAGAAGAATGTGTAATTAACAACCATGCCGCCTACCGAGTGAGACAAACTACCTGATCTGTGAGAAAATAGTTAAAAATGTGTTCTATCATGTCTTCCATGAAGAAATGGCAGTGGAAAAACTGGCTCAACATATTCACACAATTCGACGTACTAAAACGAAAATGAGCCAGTGGAGGCCCAGATGGATTTCTAGAATTAGATTACATTCAGCCACAGGGAAAACCAGTAATGTGATATATAGTGTCTAGGAAATGTAGACCCTTCTTGTTCACATAAGACTAAAAAAATGAAACACAAACCATCGAGGGGAATAAAGATATCTTATAAAATTTTGAAACTTTCAGTTTTTTATGTTTTGTACTGAGAAGCTGCAATAGTACAGTGAGCAAAACATTGTAACGCAGTTTTGCTCAATGGATGGACAGCTAGGATGTTTTCTTAACAACAGAGTTGCATTGAAGTTTCAGCAAACTTAAATAACTTTTTTTTTTTTACTGCATTGTGCAGTAGTACTTTCTTGTGTAAACATAAAACATATACGAAAACTTTTTTGACTCTAGGCTGAGAGTAGAAGAAACTAAAAAAAGAAATTTTAAACTTTGGCAACTCTGGATTAAATAGTCACTTTACAAAGTAAAGCTTGCTATTACAGGACTACAATAAACCTTTGCCTTCAAAACAGTTTTAACTCTGTGGCCAGGATCCAAACATTCCTCATATACTTTGGCAGATATTGACATGGTACCATCATGTGGATGTAGCAGATGAGTTCAGCTGCAAATCAATCTCTCGCTTCAGGTGGTAAATTGATCCCATGTCCATATGTCACTGATTGATTTAGCTACATGAGTATGTAGTAGTTGCAAGCAAACAATAATTATTTACACAAAGTCCAATGAGAAGAATTAAGTGAAACAAGTGCGTGGTAGCTATAAAAACAAAACAGAATCGTGGATCATAATTGAAAATGAGAAAAAAGACAATCTGTCAGTCTGTTTTGAACTATAAAAGTCTCTTTTTTTCATTTTTTTTTTTCTCCTTCACACTTCTTGTTACCCATAAATTGCCACCTCTAGGGGAAAAACACAAGCTATTGTTAATTATAATGCAACAGTGCTTGGGTTGCCTTTCAAAGAGTTTGGCCGCTGAGAAATGTAATCGAGAACCATTACATGAACTAATTACTCTTTGTTTGTTAAACGCGTGCTTACACACCACCCATGGATTTGAGATCCTCATATCTGGGAAACAAAACATGCCCACAAAAACTCTCTCAACATATCCAGCTTAATGAAGAACAAGTGTACAGTACACTGTCATTAATTCAGCTGTAATACAGTACACCCACGTAGCGGATTTAACAATGGGTACAAATTCGAGCAAAGATTTATATGATTCCAAGCCTGTCTGCCAGCACAAACAAACGTTCGCATGAACACCCACATACTGTGAAGTACTTTTCGTGTTTTTAATGGTAGGGAAAACGTAAAGCTCCTCCTCGCTCATGCTGTCCTCAATGAGCTCCAATCCATCCCAAAAAAAAAAGAAAGAAAAACCCTTTGAAGATTTTAATGAACTCTGCTGTGAACATGAATCTTTTATTGCTGTCAATTAATCTTTGGCCCTAATAATCTCCCCTTCCCACCAATCTCACTTGAGAATGTGCTGGCTCATGAGGAGAATCTTTGACCAGGATTCTTGGTTTGTGACCTGTTTTCATGATGTAATGCTAAGCTTTCTTTTTCCAGTTAGCTTGCACAAAAAAACAAAAAAAAAAACACAGAAAGGGAGTGAAATAAGAAACATGCAATATGACTGCAAAATCCACTGTAAACAAAACATTTACAGTGGATTTTGCAGAAAAAAATGTCAGTGATTTTGGTTGGCTCTTTTTATTTAGAGTTAAACTTATTAAAGCAAAGCAAAGAGACAAGAAAAGATGATCCCTGAGTTTAAATGGACAGTTGACTTCCTTCAATTGTGTATGCTGAGCATATAGCTGACTGAAAAATGTATCGCTAATAAAAAATGAGTAAATATATAAACAAATACATCAATAAATGCAGCGTATTAAGGGAGAACATTTCTGTAGACGTTTGTCAGATGGCAGTAGTTAGGAGGATAACTAATAGAGGTGCATTCCACAAATCTGATCTGCGTGGAAGTCTGGTAAAACTGGTAAAAAGAAAGTCCTAACTGAACCCTATGTGATGGCATATTGTTGTTATCACCATGTCTCAGTGTGGAGCTGTTTTTTTCAACAGGGACAAGGAAGCTGATAATAAATAACACAAAATACAGAGAGCCTTATGTGAGCCTGCAGAAGACTTTAGACTGGAGGGTAGGTTCAACCTCCAGTATATTGTTGATCTGAAACCAAGAGCCAGAGCTAGCATGTGGTAGATCAAAACATATGTTTGCGTTTGAAAGGCCCAGTCAAAGTGCAGACCAATGTAGAATTGGTTTAGAAATACTCCAAAAGATTTTCAGATAGTTTGTTGTGAAATATGCTC